TCGATCGCAGGCGGCTCCTCCGGCTCCCGGCCCGGGATATCGCTACGCGTGTACTTGCTAAGCAGGGAGACATGGAATACCGGGTGCACCGGCACCGATTTCGGCAGGATTAATTCATAATCCAAGTCTCCGAGCTTTCGCCGCACGGCATAAGGCCCAAGGTGCTTGGGACTGAGCTTCTTGCTCGGCTGTTTCAGCTTAACGTTCCGGGCGTCAAGCCAGACCTTGTCCCCCGGCGCAAAGACCGGTGCCTCCTGCACGTGCTTATCGTAGTACCTCTTCATGCGCTCGGCCGACAGCTCGAGCGCAGAGCACGTATCGTCGCGAATCTCCTTCAGGATCTTGAGCCGATCAGCGGCCGCAGGCATCGCAGACATCGGATTGATCCGCACTTGGATCTCAGGATTGTACCCTTGATGCAGGAAGAAAGGGGAGTGCCCGGTCGCGGAGTGAACTCGGTTGTTCAGTGCGAATTCCGCGAGCGGCAACTGCTTCGCCCAATCATCCTGCCTGTGGCTTGTGAAAGCACGCAGGTACTGCTCGATCTCCTGATTCCAGCGCTCAGTCTGGCCGTCTGTCTGAGGGTGGAACGCTGTGGACAGCGCCGGCTCGATTCCCAGACCCTTGTACACCGCGTGGAGATATTTCGAAGCGAACTGGGGACCTCGGTCTGATATGACCTTGGCCGGGGCCCCATGATGCTTGAACACATCGCGGATGTACAGGTCTGCCGCACCTTCTGCCATCAGGGTCTCATGACAGGCCGAGAAGTGGACCTGCTTGGTAAAGCGGTCGGCGGTAACCAGAATCGAGTCGAATCCATCAGACTTCGGCAAGCCAATGATCATATCCGTGGTGATGATCTGCCACGGGCGCTCGGGGATCTCGTTCGGCTTCAGCGGACCCTGAGGCTTGGCTGGGAATGTCTTGGTACGGTTGCACACGTCGCAGGTGCTTACGTACTCATTAACGAATTTAGACATCCCAGGCCACCAGTAGTTCCGCGACACGAGCTCCAGGGTTTTGGCACGACTGCCATGACCGGCGATCGGCGAATCGTGGTGGATCTTGACTATATCCCGCCGGAGCTCCGCGTTCTTTGGGACGTACACACACCCGCGGAACAGCAGAAGCCCTTGTTCGGCATTCCACTCCTCAAAACCCCTTTGCAGCCGGGGTGGCCCGAGGTCCTGCACCTTTTCAAGTGCCTCGGCCACCTCCCGATCCTTCTCTGAACATTCCCTGATGCGCTTCAGAAGCGACTGGTCAGCTGTCACTGAGGCATGGCCGCGCCTGGCGGAGGCGATGCGGAAGCGCTCTGGCTTGAGAACCACCTGATCGGTGTTATCGTCCTCATCACCGATCTGATGGTCTGATCGCCGTGATAGGGCATCGGCCTTTCCGTTCGACGTTCCGGCTTTGTGTGTGATGCGGAAGTCGAAGCGGGCCAGGAACAGCGACCAGCGTGCTTGGCGACGTGTGAGATGCTGAGACGTGCGCCAGTACTCGAGGTTCTTGTGATCGGTGACGATCTCGAACTGATTGGGTAACCCCTCGAGATAGTGACGCCAATCATCTAGCGCCTCAATGATCGCGAGCATCTCCTTATCGTAGATCTCGTAGTTCCACTGCGCCGGATCCATCGCATGGGATCTGAAGGCGATGGGATGCCATTTGCCGTCATCCTGCTTCTGCATCAATACACCGCCAGTGGCGTACCCCGAGGCGTCAACCTCAATGCGCGTCTCCCGATCAGGGTCGTACAGCGCCAAGACTGGAGTCGTCGCGAAGAGCCGCTTGAGCTCATCGAAGGCGTGTTGCTCTTCCTCGCCCCAGTGCCATGGGTCGTTCCCTGTGAGCCGGTCGAGTGGTCGCGAGATCTTAGCGAAGTCCTTGATGAAGCGGCGGTAGAAGTTGGAGAACCCCCGGAACTTCTGGACATCTTTTTTGTTCCGGGGTACCGGCCACTCATTAATTCCTTTAAGCTTCGCGGGATCCATCGCCACCTCATCGCCACCGAACACATAGCCGACGTAGTCGACCTTGGGAACGTCCCACTCGCACTTCTCAGGCTTCAGGAACAGATCATTGTCCTGAAGGCGACGAAGAACCTCGCGTGTGACCTTCTCGTGCTCCTCCTTGTTGGTGGAGAAGATGAGTATGTCATCCAGGTATACGAGGATCTTGCCGCCGATGATGAGATCATGGAAGATCTCGTTCATCATGGCCTGGAAGGTCGCGGGGGAATTAGTGAGGCCAAAGAACATCACCAGGGGTTCGTACAGCCCTCGGTTAGTCACGAAGGCCGCCTTCCACTCATCACCAGCTTTGATCCGGACGTTATTGTATCCCCATCGGACATCGAACTTCGTGAAGAGCGTGGCGCCTCGGAGCTTATCCACCATTTCGGCGATCAACGGCAAGGGATAACAATTTTTGACCGTGATCGCGTTCAATCGGCGATAGTCCTGTACGGGTCGAAGCGTCCCTTCCTTCTTTTTGATGAAGAAAAAGGGGGATGAGATTGGTGACTTCGACTCCCGTATGTAGCCCTTCGCTAACTGCTCTTTTAGGAACTTGTCCAGTTCCTCCTGCTCGTTGCTCGATAATGGGTATACCTTTGAATGGAACGTGGAGTAGCCGGGCACGAGTTCGATCGCATGATCGTACGGCTTTCTTTCGGGTAGCCGTTCTGATGCTTCCTTTGAGAAGACTTTCAGAAATTCGTGGTACTGTTTGGGCACTGACTCCTCGGCGGTCTTGATGACCTTCTTCTTGATCTCTTCCTCAGCGAACAGCTGAGAATACGTGTGCCCTGCTGCGACGAACAGCTGAGGGGCGCCGGGAAGCGTGATACCCTGCTCCCAGGTTTCGATCAAGTCAGCCTCATCCCATTCTACTTCCACCGAATCTTCTTCGGGTTCGAAGTCCGGGAGCACCTTGCTCCGGCAGGCACCTATGACCGACCGTTTGGACTTCGGCGAACGCCTGCGCGCCGTGGGCCTGACCCCTGTATCACGCGCAGTCGCTGCTTGCTCTATTCGGCCAGTCCTCCTGGCGCTACACGTTTCAGGGCATCGCGACAATTTGAGGGAGCCCTTCTCCCAATCTATTTCGGGGTTGTGCTCGCGTAGCCAATCCAACCCGACGATCACATCCTCTGGACCGATGTCCGTGACCATAAACACCGTCTTCTCGACGTGTTCTCCTATTTGCATCTGTAGTACTGCTACTTCTGAGATGCTTCCATCTTTATTCAGGGTGCCGTCGATATTGTAGAGCGGAATCGGCTCTTTTAGCTTCCGCGTCTGCACCTTATTCTCTTCAATGAATCGCTTGTTGATAAACTTTGTGGTGGCTCCGCTGTCCACCATAGCGATTATGTCCTTGTGCCGTCTTTTCCCTTGAAGTCGTACTGGGATGTGAAAATGTTGGGACCCCTGGTCCAATTCGTACACCATCGCAGTAGACAATACATTATACTTGTTACAAGATGATACTCGCGGCCCGACGCGTGCGGCACGAAGCGCGGACCGGATCAAAAACCCTCCTCCTTCATTGCCCGATAATGCTCGAGCTCCTCGCGCATCGACTTCACCTGTGCCATTAAGTCCGCCAGCTCCGATTGCTTGGATTTCGCTGAAGCGGCACTTATACTTGCCGAGGGTGATGTCGTGACGGGGGCGCTTGTCGCGGCCTGGGTGGATCCCGAGGCAACCGTAGCCCGCGCGTCAGCGCATTTTGTGTAAGGCTTGTCCTTACAATTGGGGCACTCAAAGCGTTGGTACCCTTGCTTCCCACAGTCGAAGCATGTGCCGGGGAAGTTTCCTTTTCCGACGGCCGCATTGATGCTGGCCGAAGCTGCGTGCGTCGAGGGTGCACCACCACGTGCCCCACCGCGTCCTCGACCTCGGGCCGAGAAGAAGTTATTTAGCTCGGGCCTACGGGCCTGGCTGATATCGAGGATCTGCTCGACCTCGGTGGCGCACTTCTCAGCTGCTTGCCACGTGGTGAAGGTCTCGAGCTCGATCTTGCGGTAGACGCGGGAGGGGATGCCGCTCAGGTACTTGTCGCGTAGCTCCAGGTCCCCATACCCGGAGCGGTCCGCCGGACCCTTGAACAGCGCGGAGAACTCCGCGGCGGTGCGTTTTTCGCGGACCGACTTATCCACACAGAGCTTCGCCAGCTCTACTTGTGCTGCCGCCTCGTCGTCGAGATTTCCGAAGCGGGCCCTGAAGGCGGTGGCAAAGGCCGCTTCGTTTGCGAATGGGGTCGTGGCCCCTTGCACTCCTATCTGCACTGACACAAGCTGAGCAAAGTAGGGAGTGGCCCAAGCGCGGGCGTCTCCATCGAGCAGGCTAAGTGCAACCTGCACCTTGAGCTCGATGGTGGTCAATGATGTGTTGATCAGCCAGTAGATGCGCAGCTGCGACAGGAACCGGTTGCACTCGATGATGGTCTTGCCATCGTAGCGGAGCGGGAGGAGGAGTTTCAACGTCTCCTTATCAGGGACGGCAGCGGGAGAGGACATTATCGGCGACGAGGGGGACAAAGGACTGCCCGCGGACGAAGGCGACTGTTGTGACTGTCCGCCGGGCGGACTTCTCGGGGAACGAGTGCTTGAGCGGCCTCGCGGCGGCGACGGCGGTGAAGTCGGTTGAGGAAGCCCGGAGGTGGGGTTACGTAGGACAGGGACTGGAGTCGAGGCGGTGACCGCTGACGACGAGCTGGCCCAAGAATGCGGCGGAGTGTCGCGGGGCTCGGTCTTGGGAGGCCTTTCCAGCCGCGGCCCCAGGGAGGGCTGGGGGATCGCTTGAGGGGTTGCTGAAGGCTGTGCGACTGCCTCAGTTCCTCGAGGGAGATAGGGATCTCCTCGCGCTTGACCTGTACTGGCGACAGGTTGGGGGATGCGGGTGCCTGGCGAGGCAGGTCGGGATGGGACGGGAGTGACGTGGCGAGATGTAGACCTCGAGGTGCCAGCGTATCGGAGTGCAGGGCCGCTGGGGTGTTGGACTCGTCGGATTGGCACGTAGCGCCCTTCGTCTTTGTTGGTGGTGATGGATCGTGGGGTTCGATTAGGGCACGGTTGCCGATCACAGCTGAAGAAAGGGGCTAGGTTGCCGTTGCGGTCTGGGTCGCCGCGAGAGACGTCGACCTGCTCCTGGGTGTCGAAGGCGTGCTCAAGTCGAGAGCAGTCGAAGAATTCGTCAGCCACGGTGATGGGGGGAGGAAGGGGAGGTGCGCGTGCTACAAAAGGCCGTATAAGCTAGCTTACACCTACGGCGCCCGAGGTAACACTAGGGTTCGCAATTCACGTGGGGCCCAGTACTGCTTTTGACTATTATGCAGCAGGAACCTAGTCCACGCGTCCGTGAGGACAAGTACTGCCCACTGAAGTGCAGGTACTGAAAAGTTCGTCCCCTAAGTGGTGGCTATGTATAGTACGCTTATCTACGTATCGTAGCGTATAGTAGGGGTGCGCACCACCCAACCTATAGGAGAGGAAAGATGAGTGTTTGTTGCTTTGGGAACGCCGGCAGCGTTGGGGAGTTTCGACCTAATGTCGCGACTTAGGGTCGAGCGACAGGGGAAAACCAAATGCTGGGGGCGTTCGACTTATCTTACCGAAGCGATGGTGAGCTAGGCTCAAACCTAAGGCTAGGGACAAGAATATATTAGTTAGTAAGGAAAGGTAAGTAAGTACAAGAAAGCTTACTGACCTAGGGACAAGAGGTCGAAACTGAGGTCCCTAGGGCAGCAGAGGCTGGCTTATATACATGGGGAGATTAGGGCAGGCTGTGCACGTTGGTCCGTGCGCAGCTGGTCTGTGCGCAGCATGCCGACGCGGCCCCGGGGGCCGGTGAGTCAGAGCGGCTGTGTCAGCGGGGCCCGAGCTGTGCCGTGCGCTGCCGCCCCATCTAATCTAATCGTACAGTAGATAGTGGCGCGTCCATAT